CCATGGATACTTCCTAAAGGTTTGCATGATTAGGGGCGTGGCCTGCTAGCTGTCTGCTGGACTCAGGTAACCAGAGTCCCTGAACTGGACCTCTGGACGACGTCTGTGCTGTTGGAGCAGTTGAAGTTTACAGGTGTTGTTACCTGTTCTCCTGGGAGCTGCTGGCAGGTTTGTACTCTTTGTAGCTGTGCTCGGCTGACCGGCGTCCCCTGAAGTGGTACGACAGGGCGTTGAACTGGCCCTTAGTTCTGCAGTCTGGTGGGTTAAACACAACACACTGAAAATCAGTAGAAGAAGAAAACAGAGTCGCTGAGGCCGACAGAAGGAGCGTTTATGACCTGCAGTGTTTTTAGGCTGAAGTGTTGGAATCAACCACAGGAGCACACGGTACCCTCATCTCTTAGTGCGAGTCGTTTAAATCTTCTCTGACCTGCTTCGTCTTGCACTGTATCGGCTCCTTTAGACTCTCTGCTGTGCAGACGACTCACCCATTTATCCAGCTGTGAGGGAGGCGGCCGCGACCCCCCTAACGATCCTGCTTTTGTCATCCTGGAGGATGAAAACTGACAAACCCGTCTCCACTGTCACAGTGACGCAGCTTCCAGGTTTACGCGCCGCGTCTTTATGTAAACGCTCAAATCTCAGCTGCGGTTGATTCACAGACTGCGTGTAGAAGACGAGAACAACAACACTTCCTCTCTCGTGCCGACACAAACATGAACACACACGTGTCTGTTAGCACACGCAGTTATAAAGCTGCACAGGATGTTCTCTGTTTATAGTTTCTGCTCTGCTCGTACAGTCAGAGAGCAGACTCATCACCAGCGTCTGCTTAAAGAAGAAAACATGTTTCCATCCTGTGATCAAACTCCTGACTAAACCTTCACATCACTGAGATCTCTCCCACCACAATAAAAGCCTCTTTTTAATAATGGAGGTTTGTTTTCATGCACCAGTATAAATAATAAACTGGGATCAGATTTGTGCAACGAATTCACACTACAGACCAAAAATAAACTTTAAAGGTTGAAGCAGAGACGGCGACCTCTGTGACCTCAGAGCCACTTTGTCTCAGCGACAATCAGAAAAACAACCAGACATCGTCCTGAAAGCTCCTCTCGCCCTCACAGGTCTGCAGGCTGCAGGGCTCCTCGCTGCAGCTGTTCAACACATCTGGAAAACACTCGAATGCTAATATTCAACCAGTGGAGTTTAATTTATTCAAGCTTAAAGTAAATGTTTGTGTTTTGAAAACAACAAGCGTCTGCTGAGGTTTCCTGGTCATCGTGATCTGAGCTGTCAGTAAACTGCAGAATAAACCGAGCGAGCTGATGCGGCGTTTGCTGACTCTCACCTTCGCAGCAGTCCTGCCACATGCGCAGGTCGATCTGAGGGACGTCGTCACAGCTGACGTAGCCGTGAGGCAGCTCGGCCACCCTGAACACGTCGCGCTG